TATAATATAAATGATATGAAAATATAATATAAAAAATATAAAATTATATTTAAAATAATAATAATCAAATATGTGTGTACTCATTAATTAAACAAAATTAAATAAAATATTATTAAAAATAACATTTATTAACTACTTGGTTATTTACAAAAATGAATTTAAAATAAAATGACATGGCAAAGCACTTTATGCATGTTTTTGCTTTTTTTAATAAAAAATTGAAAAAATAGTAAAGTAATTGTATAAAATAATAGATATTATATTTAAAACTAATTATTATATAGTATAATTATTCTATTTAAAATATATGTGATTGTGTTTTATATATATATATATAAAATTATTATATTTTCCGACTTATTTACAAAAAATGAATTAAAATAAAATAACATTACAAAACGCTTCATGCACATTTTTGCAGTTTTAAATTAATTTGAGCAGTAAATGATATATAATTGTACAAAATAATCAACAAAATTCTATATAAAATACATTATTATATCAAATAATTATTATGCGTGAAATATATATAATTGTGTGGGAGTTTTTGTGTGTATATAAATAAACCATTATATCTTTTTCTTTAGATTTATTGAAAGGTTAGAACATTAAACTAAGAAACCTTTTGTGGTGTTCAGGTGAAAGTTTGTTCATAGCTCATTCTCTATATAATTGTATTTTTACTCATTCACAGGCAAGTTTGCTGAGAAAAGTAAGTATTCGTTTGTTTGCACTCTTCTAATTGTGTTTTGATGAAGCAATTGCTTAATGTAGACGACACACTTCATCATAACCGTCCATCTGACAGATCGAGCCTGAGTCACGAAGGGTCTTCCTGATGTGGTGGCAATAATGGAGAATAAGGTACGAGCATCCATCACTGCTGTGACTCATTCAGCTCACATCAGAACCAGGCACTGAACTGTGCTCTTTCTCTTTAGTCTCTCTGTCTGACGGGTTTTGCCGACGGCGATCCTGTGCCGGAAATGTTCTGGCTGAAGAACAACAGAGAAGTCACCTCCACCGGCCAGTATAACATTAAAAAGGAGAATAAATCCTCCACTCTCACTATAAACCACGTGACCATGGAGGACTCGGGCAACTATAGCATCAATAAACACGGATCGCAGACGGTCCTCGTGACCGTCGGTGTGTATAAACGTGGAGAAAAGCCTCGAGCAGATGCAGTGCAAATGTAACTGTAAGTGCCACAGTGATGGTTTGGCCTCATTTACATGGTGTGTGTTCATTGTGGAGCCTGTATGACAGCACCTGCCCAACCGTCAGGACTTGTACAACTCCAGAGTAGTGCTGGGCGGTATACCGGTTCATACCGAATACCGGTGTTTATTTTTGTTATGATACGAATTTTTAAAATACCGCAATACCGGTGTATGTCGCTTAAACAACGTTCAGAACGCGACACTGAGAGTGAATAAATGGGCAGGTAACAGACCCCTCTCACAACCTGTTTGCACTTCTCCCTTCAGGCAGATGCTACAGATCTCTGTGCACTAGAACATCTAGGCATAAAAACAGTTTTTTCCCCCATGCCATCTCCAGCTTAAACAGCTAACACATGAGTCATTACCTGTGTTCTGTAACTCATTCTCCATCTTTAATTATTGCCTCTTTCTCAAGTATTATGTAAATACATGTGCATATCACTTTATTTATACAGCTGTATATAGAGTAAATAATGCACAAATCTGTACATAAATCTACTGTTCCAGATTCATACACATTATTATTATTTATTGTTAAGTCTTAATATTTAAATAATACATGTGCATATCACTTTATTTATACAGCTGTATATAGAGTAAATAATGCACAAATCTGTACATAAATCTACTGTTCCAGATTCATACACATTATTATTATTTATTGTTAAGTCTTAATATTTAAATTTTTTTCTGTTCTCATGTCAGGTATGTATGTATGTATGTACCAGGATCACCTTTAAAAAAACACAACAAATTCCTTGTGTGTTTACGCACACCTGGTGAATAAAGCTAATTCTGATTATGATTCTGGAATTGTTGTTTCTGGCTGAAATACTGTTTTAGTCCATAATCTATAATAACGCTTCCTCCAGTGAAAAAGTCTGTCTCCTGTCGTCTCTCACATCAAAATCCAGCCACAGATTTGTTTAGAGCTGTTTTGACTGTTAACTGTGCTTGATCTGTGCAGATTTCTCTCCTGATTCAGACCAGAACACTTTTTCACTGGAGGAAGCGTTATTATGGGTTATGGACTTTAGTTAAAAATGTCTTAATGCTGGATTAGTTTCAGCTTTAGTCTTCTCCAGATGTTAACTGATGGACTGGAGTGGTGTGGATTACTTGTGGATTATTGTGATGTTTTTATCAGCTGTTTGGACTCTCATTCTGACGGCACCCATTCACTGCAGAGCATCCAAGTGATGCAATGCTATATTTCTCCAAATCTGATGAAGAAACAAACTCATCTACGTCTTGGATGACCTGAGGGTGAGGACATTTACAACTAATTTTCATTTTTGGGTGAACTATTCCTTAGTCGGCTCCGATGGCCTCGTGGGCAGCGCGCTGACATGTCGCTAGCGCCTTTGCACTTCGGGCCTCCCAAGTTCGAGTCCCGGCTCGTGGACCTTTCCCAATCCCACCCCCCTCTCTCTCTCACCCACTTCGCTTCCTGTCGACCTACTGTCCTATCTAAATAAAAGGCATAAAACGCCAAAAATCTTAAAAATAAAAACTATTCCTTTACTGGTGCTGTAGAAGGCAATGTCCTAAAGGTCAGTGTCCTGAAAGCCTGAAGACTGAGTTGATTTGATTTGTGATTTATCTTGTGCTGCTTACAGAATAAAGTGCAAATGAAACCGTTTCCACTCTCTTTTTTCATTTTTAGCTAAATTTGAGCATCAGGGAATGCAAGTGTGCAGCGAACTTTGATTAAATAGACTGTGAACACACTTTCCAGCTGCATTATAATAGGTTCACGATCGATTTTTATGCTTGTACATGGATGGATGGGTGTTTTATCTGCTGATATTTCATAATAGAGAGATCGAGGCCCATTTCAAATATCATTATGCAACCCGAGGGTGATTCTTTTGAACAGATAGAAAGCAAACTCCACAGTCCACAGGGTCATTCGCCCCTCGTGTGTTTAAACAGGATAGTATTTCAACGGGTTTCTTTTGCAAAACATAGCAAGAAAAGGATCTTGACCAGGATTTGGCAACCTTTTTGACATGAAATGCCACATTTATTTTTTCTTGTTTGTTTTCCACATCACTCCCAGAATGTAGAATACTAAACTCTGCATGCAACATGAATAAATCATGCACATTGTGTCTCGTGCATTATTTGCATATGTGTTGTCATGTTTGTTTTTGTTGATAACACAGTGCATCTCCTCTTTTAACTTTGTAGTTTTGAGCGTCATTTGAGCAATGTCAGATTAAAAATATTAATGCATTATATATATGTGTGTGTGTGTATATTATTATTTTTTTTTTTTTAGTAGTTTATTTAGTGCAGTTCATTCCTTTTTTAGAGCGTTTGGAAACTCATACATGCTCACAAACCCCATCATCCATCCCTTGTGTGTGTCAGACTCTGTTCCATGTTTCGTGTGTGTCCTGCTCCCCATGTGCCTTCCCATGCCCTTATTTGGTTTGTTTCCTGTTCCTCCCCTGATTAATTAAGTTGATTTCTTCCCAGGTGTTTCCCTTGATGTGTCATGGCTCCCAGGTGCGTCTCGTCATCCCCTCCTCCTGTGTGTGTGTATATAAAGTGTTCCTAACCAAGGTCGCATTTATTTGATCAAACATACAGTAAAAAACTGTTAAATATTTTTGCCATTTAAAATAACTGTCTGATTATCTGTTAAACTTGATTGCTGTGATGCGCAGTTGAATTTTCAGCATCATTACTCCAGTCTTCAGTGTCACATGATCTTCAGAAATCATTCTAATATGCTGATTTGCTGCTCGAGAAATATTTCTGATTATTATCGATGTTGAAAACAGTTGTGCTGCCCGATATTTTTGTGAAAACTGTGGTGCATTTTATTTTTGAAAGATTCTTTGATGAATAGAAAGTAACATAGCAAGAAAAGGATCTTGACCAGGATTTGGCAGCGTTTTTGACATGAAGTGCCACATTTATTTTTTCTTGTTTGTTTTCCACATCATTCCCAGAATGTAGAATACTAAACTCTGCATGCAACATGAATAAATCATGCACATTGTGTCTCGTGCATTATTTGCATATGTGTTGTCATGTTTGTTTTTGTTGATAACACAGTGCATCTCCTCTTTTAATGTTCATTTATGAATTCATTAAATAGTTTGGTTAATCTGATGCATTCAGCTATTAAGTGTTGTGCTTTCAGCAACATTGAACGTGTTTAAATCCATCTCACAGAATCTCATCCAGTAAGATATTTTAATGTTTTTGAAAGACGTCTCTTCTGCTCACCAAGGTTGCATTTATTTGATCAAACATACAGTAAAAAATTGTTAAATATTTTTGCCATTTAAAATAACTGTCTGAGTATCTGTTAAACTTGATTGCTGTGATGCGCAGCTGAATTTTCAGCATCATTACTCCAGTCTTCAGTGTCACATGATCTTCAGAAATCATTCTAATATGCTGATTTGCTGCTCGAGAAATATTTCTGATTATTATCGATGTTGAAAACAGTTGTGCTGCCCGATATTTTTGTGAAAACTGTGGTGCATTTTATTTTTGAAAGATTCTTTGATGAATAGAAAGTTCAACAGAACAGCATTTAGTTGAAATAGAAATCTTTTGTGACATTATAAATGCCTTTACTGTCACTTTTGATCAGTTTAATGTGTCCTTAAAGAATAAAAGTTTTTTTCTTTTTCTTCGAGCTTTAACGAGGGGGGGTGTTGGTGAGAGGGGCCCCTCAGTCAATGAGGGCAGAGGGGCAGTGGCTCTAGCCACCGGGCCACCCCCCTGTGCACGGCCCTGATAGTGAGTATAAGTACTGGTCTGGGATGAACGTCTCCTCACATTGTGTTGAGCTCTTGTCAGCGGTCAGATCAGCAGCAGACATGGCCTTCAGCGGAACGTGGCAGGTTTACGTGCAGGACAACCACGAGGAGTTTCTGAGAGCCATCTGTGAGTTTCTGTGAAATGATCACGGTTGCATTTCCAAAAGCATTGTATATTTTTATGCATGCTGCGCATTTGGGAAATAAACTGTGAGACATCTGAAGTCATTTCATTTGAATTCCCTGCCATGATTGTAGGTCGCTCACTCACTATCTTTGTGCTTCTGTTCCTTTCAGCTCTGCCAGAAGATGTCATTAAAATGGCCAAGGATGTTAAACCAGTGACTGAAATCCAACAAAGCGGCAACGACTTCACCATCACATCCAAAACCCCTGGAAAAACCGTCACAAACTCCTTCACCATCGGCAAGGAAGCTGAAATCACCACCATGGACGGCAAGAAGCTCAAGGTAGAATATGTTTGCATCTTTTTATGATGTTGAACTGTTCAAGAAGAGTTGATATCGAGTACAGAAGATCAGTTCCACAAGAGATCAAGAATTTTTCTTAATTAAAAAACAAAACTAAACAAAAAAAGAATCTATATATATATAATAAAAATATATTTTATAA